CACACCGAAGCGAGTGGAGGTGATTTGGAGGTACTCGGCGATGCTCGAGGCAAGGTCGCGGGTGGTCCGAGTACTCGAGCGAAGGTGAAGATTGACTATGGCTCGGTTGAGATGCCCAGGTACGAGTGGGTGGACGAGGAGGTCGGCATCTACTTCTCGTCGTTCTCCGACCAAGGGCTACTTGACAAGTTTGTGACATTGGAGAAGTGCTTCGGCAGTGGGGAGGATGAATTGCCTTTAATCGCCGAGGCATGTAATGATGATGGGCTGGACACTGATTTCGTGTTTTTGGAATCGGGATCGGAGGAAGAGGGGTCGGTCGGAGAAGATTACATCTACGCCTATATGTGCTGGTTCTAGGATCTCGACATAAAGCTGTCCTTTGACGATTTTCAATGGGGGTGCTCTGAGTACTGAACGTGGCGCCGACCCAACTGCATCTGAATGCTTGGGCAGCCATGCAAGCTTTCCGGAACCTATGCCTCTGCCTAGGCCTCACGCCCCGACCACTCGTGTTCCTATAATATATATATATGAAAGATGGATATATTTTAGAATAGTAGGAGTTCCTTTTATAGGCAACAAGTATACAATCAGAGTAAAATCACCATAAAAGAAACAAACATAACAATCAAAAACTCTTTAAAAATAATAATTGATATCCAAATAAAGTAGGACAATTATTAACCAGTAAAAACAAAATAAAACATTACTAAATAAAAAATGTCAACAGACCTTACTTTAAACTGATATTTGCTAACATTCGGTTTAAAGGCTTCATTGACTTTAACATATAGACTCCAAGAGACCTATACTTCATGAATGACTCTCTCTTAAGTGCCTTGGTGAAGATATCAACAAATTGATCTTCACTCTTACAATAGATCAATGTAATTACTCCATCATTACTTAAATCTCATAAGAAATAAATTTTCACATCAATGTGCTTGTTTCTTCCATATAACAATGGATTCTTTGAAAATTTGATTGCTGAATTATTATCGCAAAAAATATTAGTAGCCCCAAGTTACTGGAATTTTAACTCTTCAAGGACTCTCCTTATCCATATGCCTTGACAAGCACAAGCAGTTGCTACAACAGATCCTACTTCTATGCTTGATAAAGTGACAATATGTTGTTGTCTAAAGAACCAAGAGACAACACCCGTGCCAAGCATGAAAACACACCCCAAAGTGCTCTTTCTATCATCTTGATCTCTTGCATAATCACTACTAGTGAATCCCAATAGATTGGACTTTTCACCTTTCTTATAAAACTGTCCAAACTCTTGTTCCTTGCAAGTAGTGAAGGATTCTCTTGGCAGCAAGTAGATGCATTTCTATAGGATTCTTCATGTACCTACTAATCAAACTTACAAAATACATTACATTAGGCCTAGTTGTTGTGACACCCTTACTATCCCAACACATATATCGCAATAATATAATTAAATTAAGGAAATAAATTTTTTCAACGTATTGGTAAAAGGGTTCACATAAAAACCTTCACAAATGATCTTCAATGTCCAACATGAATAAAATTTGAAAAATAAAATATAAGATTTTACAACTTGTTTTTAAAAATAATAACTACAACTCCAAATTCATATAAAAATTCCATATCCTAGAAATTCTCTGTCCCGATGTCACAATACCAGATCACACCCACAATTCAATAGTTGACATTCTAGATGCCACTCAAAGCCAGATCTTCCTCACCTAAAACATCCACAAATTATACAGTGAGAAAAGAAAACATCTATATGTAAAGAACACAAGGAAAAATACAACATAATCTTATCATAACTCATCAATTAATGAAGTCTTTACAAGCATATTCATACATTCTAATTCTATCGATCATGCATCATATTCACATCACAATTTCACAATAACACCAATCTATCACAAATCTTGCAATTAACACTATGTCAATGGTCACGCCACCTCAAGGTCGTGCCACTCTAGACATAAGTGATACGTATTAATTGCCTCACTCATCCCACACTATGCTAGGGGCACGCCATCCCTGTAGCATCACTTACCTAGGGTCGTCTCATCCCTGGTCATATATGTGAGGAACCACAATCACATCACAATCACAATTATCATAAATCTTACTATGTCAAGGTCACGCTACCCTTTTACAGCCTAGGGTCATGCTCACCCTTGACATAACACTGTGCCAAGGTCACGCTATTCTTTTAGCAGCCTAGGGTCGTGCTCACCCCTGACATAACACTGTGCCAAGGTCACGCTACCCTTTTTAGCATCCTAGGACCGTGCTCACCCCTGGTCATCAGTACGAGGATCCACAATTATATCTCATTCACATTCCACACATCTCATTTCATAACTCAAATTCCATATTACATACAGATAAGTCCACACAATACAATGATTCACATACCCATCAAACAATTCACCATGAATACACATCTATAACAATAATATAATAATATTTATAAATTAATATAAAACCCAATAAATTCACCAATTTAATACAATATTAAATCAAATAGTAAAACCCCCAATTTTTCAAAACCTAACTCACAGTTCTACAATTTCGTTCTCTCTCCCAGATCATCATTTTCACAAATTAAATATATATTTATAATCCTCAATACATACAGAATCTAATCGGATCATCAATTTCTCAAACAGAAATAATTATAAAATTACCCATAATCCTACAGGATTCTTCCCCTACCCAATCCCCTCATGTAACTTTACATACAAATAATCCCCCAATCCCCTCATGTAACTTTACATACAAATAATCTCCTTTTTTCCTGTACCTCAATAAGCAGTAGCTGAAACTAGAGCAGGATCTGGTTGGTCTCCCCTTCTGGGTTCCCCTCGATCTTCAGAGAATGTAAAAGGAAAAGAAGTCAGAATTGAAAGAAGTCAGAACTAAAAGGTGTGCTTTTTGGGATTGCTAGAGCAATCTATTTATAGGCATCAGGAGTGGTCGAAACGGCTCGTTTCAAATCCGGAATGGCCCTTTCTGGACTCTTACGTTATGTGCAAAGTTCACAACCAGAACGGCCCGTTTTGGGGTTGCATTTAACCCATAACGACCATATTTGGAACGGCCCATTCTCAACTAGGGTTATAGGCCTTTTTGGTGGTTTAGAACGCCCCGTTCCCATCTAAAATTTGTAGACAATTTTTGTATTTTGGAACGGCCTGTTCTAGTTTGGGAACGGCCCGTTCTGGGCTACTAAATCACCCTCGTTTTAGTAGTTTGGAACGACCCGTTCCAATCTGGGAACGACCCGTTCTGGACTACTACCTAACCCTTATTGGGCTTTGGGCCTTCGTACAATCCGTGAAAATTGGGCTGTTACAGTTGTAATTAGATACATTAAACTGCCCTCAATCTATTTGTAAAGTGTATTATTTACTTTCTTCCCTTTAGGAACTTTGTGTAACTTAAAGTCATACTCAACTGGGGTGTTTATAGAATTACAATCTTGCATATGAAATATGTCCAAAATTTCTCCCACATATTTCTTTTTAGCAATCACCAAAGCCCACAATAGAATGAAAATTTTCATTTAAATATGAGAAAGGGGACTTATTTTCACTTATGTGACTACTACAGTCGATATCTACATACCAGATTTCTGCCTCGTTGTCTTTTGCATCTTCAACAACCATCAACAAGGTTTCTACTTCTTTCTCCTCGACAAAATTTGAACTTTTCCTCTTTTCTTTATGATTAAGCAGTCTAGTATAAAATTCAGAGGCATAATGACCAAGTTTATGACATCTAAAGCATTCTATCTTTGATTTCTCAAGATCTCTTCCTCTATCTTTGCCTTGAAATTGGTCATTGTTACCTTTAGAGTTCTTGTTGAAATCTTTATTTCCTCGACTTCCACGCCCTCTACCTTTACCTCTACCCCTTCCTCTAGAGTTGTTTGAATGAGTATTGGTAGAGGCCTTCAATGCTTTCTCCTCCATTGTTGAACATATATTCATCTTTTGTTCATGGACCAACAAAGAACTTTGAAGCTCATCAATAGAGAGATTATCAATATCATTTGATTCTTCAATTGAGCATACCACATAATCAAACTTTAGTGTTAATGAGTGTAGAATTTTTTCAACAATGGTTGTGTCATCCATCTTCTCATCGTGAAACTGCTTATTGTTAGCAACACCAAAGGTCCTTGAACAATAACTTGTTACAGATTCACCTTTTTTCATCTGTAGGACCTCAAAGTCTCTTCTTAAAGCTTGAAGATGGGAACATTTAAATCTTGAGGAGCCTTGATACTTTTTCTTCATTGAATCACAAATATCCCTGGAAGTATCTTTGCAAAAAATAGTTTCAAGGATAGAACAATCAATGGCTTGAAACAAATAATTCTTGCCTTTCAAATCTTTCAATTTCATCGCATCAAACTCCTTTTGTTGTGCATCTATAAGAGTCATGCCATCTTTTGGTGTTGCCACACCATCTACAACAACTTGCCAGTACTCCCTATATCTTAAGAGATTCTCCATCAGCATGTTCCAATGGTCATAGTGACCATCAAATTGTGGAATGGCTGGTTGCACAAAGTTTTCGGGAGCTATAAGTGAGATAATTATTCTCCTCTTTCCTTTTTCACACTCTTGGACTATTTCCTTTCACTCTCTCCTACACTTTTAATATGCTACTCTTAACCTAGCTCTCGATATACAAACTAGAAGCAGAGAAAATAAAAGTGTAGAGAATAGAAGAATATATATATATATATATATATA